CTCCGGAAGCTGCGCCAATCCGAGCATCCGGGCAGGGGGCGCTCCCCCTGGCAGCCCCCGGCGGCAGCCCCCACCCGCCACGTACCTCCCGGCGGAGGGCGCCCGCCCTCCTGCCCTCCCACTGCTGCTCCCCGGCGTCCCCCGGTCGGGCCGACAGGGAGGGCACGTTAGCGAGTGGAGGCAGAAGACCACCAGGACGAGACGCCTGGGCCATGGGGGCCCCGCGCTGGAAATGAACCTCAACGACTGCCACTACCCTCCGCACCGCTCCCCGCCCGCCGTGGCCGCGAGCTCCGCCCCTTCTCAAAAGCCCTTCACTCGGGACTCTCTTGGACCCTCTCAAGCTCCGTAGTCCCGGCTTCTGCCCCAAACAAACATGGCCACCCGCTCTAGCTCCAACCGCACTCCCTCGCCCAGCCCCACCCCGCGGGTAGCAAATGCTAGGTTTTCCCTGTCGGGTCGGGTCGCCTTGGACAGAGGGGCGAATCCAACTAGATAAATAGGAGAGCGAGACGCAGGGGTCTCAGGAGGACAGGCATCCCCATTTAAAGTCTATTGTGGTCTGGACAGTTGCAGTGGGAGTTCATGCTTCGGGAGGAAGGTGGAGAGTACATGTCCATATCCCCAGTTCTGACTCGGCCCCACCCTCCTTTCCTGCAGACTGTCCCTCTGAGGCCTGGCTGCCCGCTGGGGTGGTGGGGGTGGGGCGCTGCTGTTCCCCAGCTCTGCTAGACATTTGGTCGCGAGGACTGCCAGTTTTGTGGTTCACGCTCTCTTCTCATCAGCTGTGCGGAACTCGTCCCACCCCCCTTCACACCGTCCCGAAGGCGCTACCCAAGGCTCTGGGGGGCTTTGGAGAGGAGTAGCTTCGGGATTACTCTTAGGGATCTAAGGCAAACGTGGGGCCCATAGGAGAATCTTGATGTAATAGATGCTCGAGCAAACGAGGATCGCCGAGTTGAGAATTGAGGAATGGGGACGACTGTTTGGGGGAAAGAGGGCAGGATAGTGAGGACAGCTGGGATTTGGATGCCCCCAAGTAGGTGACAGGGCATTTGTCCAGACAGGGGAGCAGGTTTGGGGAGCTTAGGAGCCAAACTTCAACTGCTTCTTAGTCATGTGTAGAACCTCATTTTCAACAAATCAAAAAGTTAATTCATCATCTTTGCAAATTGGTTGCTTTTCTTCTAGTCCCAATGTTAGTTCATAACACAAACTTCTATCTAGTTGCTTAATTAAAAACTCAATACTTTTGTAATCCTCCCTTTATTCACTCACCTAGTCACTAATATTGGGGGGAGGGGTTGAACTTAGGTCCTCACATCTAGTTCTATCACTTGAACTCTATCCCCCAGCTCTTAAAATAAGGCCCTCTATATTCCTGTTACACCCCTGCCTCTGGCTTCATTTAAAGCCTCATTCTTCCAACTTGCACACTTGTAATGATCTGCTAACTGAACATTATATACCTACAACATGTCCATTCAAGTGGGATGGGAATAAACCGTGTGTGTGTGTGTGTGTGTGTGTGTGTGTGTGTGTGTGTGTGAGTGAAATCCTTCTATTCCAGGAATTGAAAGTATCTAGTGGGAGACAACAAGTCAACAGATAAACAGTATAGTACGTCAGATATCTGAGGAACAAAGGAAAAGCAAGATGGAGGATAAGGAGCATTTAATGGAGTTGAGTAGTTTCTCTTTTTTAAAGGCGTATTGAAGAAGTCTTTCCTGAGAAAGTGACATTTAAGCAGAGTTCTTAAGGAGTAAGCTATTGGCTAGGAGAAACAGCATTCCAGGCAGAGGAAATAACAAGTAGAAAAGTACTTAGGTGATTGATGTGTTGTAGGAACTCGGCTGTGGCTGGAGGAGGCTTACAAGAGGGTCAAAGAATCTATTGGGAGATCAGATTAAATATGGCCTTGGTCAACACAGGGAAGTGTTCCTATCCTCTGAAGCTAACACTCACTAAAAAAATTGCTCTGAATCACAGAGTATGGAGGTGGGGTGTTAGAATGAGTGAAGTCCTGGATTGAGTTCCTGATATAAAAAGAAGAGAAGGAGGAGAAGGAAAGGAAGGAGGGAAGGAAGGAGAAAAGAAAGGAAACAGAAAAGAAAACTGAAAGAGAAGAAAGTCACAATGTGTAGGTCAAGCCTTTAGGAATCTTGCCTCATTTGTTAGTGTGTAAGTTCAAAGTCCAATGAAGTTAAATGATTTCTCTAAAATAAAACATCTTACTGGGTGCTGATGGCTCATACTTGTAATTCTAGCTGCTGAGGAGGCTGAGATCTGAGGATTGTCATACAAAGCCATCTCAGGCAGGAAACTATGTGAGACTCTTATCTCCAATTAACTATTAAAAAAGGGACCAGAAGTGGAGCCTCAGCTCAAGTGGTAGAGCATTAGCCTTGAGGGGAAACAACAACAACAAACCCCTCAGGGACAACACTGGGGCCCTGAGTTAAAGCCCTAGAACTAGCACAAAATCAAACAAACAAAGCATCTAGTCACTGACAAGTCAAAACTGAGATGCAAGTGGCTCCCCTCTAGCATCGTACTTTTTAATTCCATATTGCCCTGCCAGTTAGGAGAGCAATAAAAACAAATGGATAATAAGGTTCTAAATTGTGTCTGGATCACCAGGACTATGTGAGAGGGCAGTGATCATCAAAGATGAAAGGACTAAGACAGCTTTGAGGAGTGATAGGACTATGAACTGATTATTTCAGATGAGACAAGACATAGTGAGAAAAGTTGAGCACCTGTGGCTCACACCTGTAATCCTAACTATTCAGGAAGCTGAGATCTGAAGAGCAAGATTCAGAGCCAGCCCAGAAAGGAAAGTCCATGGGACTCTTATCTCCAGTTAACCACCAAAAAGCCAGAAGTGGAGATGTGCCTCAAATGGTAGAGCACCAGACTTGAGTGAAAAAGCTAAGCAAGAGTGTAAAACCTTTTTACTTCTGTGTAAGAATCATGATCTCCTTTTGTTTTTTTTTTTTTTCCTCTAAGACCCTGGCAGCTTCCCCTGTCTGGGTTCTTCCTGGTCAGCCTGGGACTCTCAGGTTATATAATTGCAGATCTGTAGGGAACTTTTAGCCCCGCCTCTCTCCTCACCCCAGTGCTTTCCCCACAGGAATCAGTCATGAATAGAAATGATTCTTTTTTTCATTTTAAAATTTTATATGTCTATATATTAATTATATAAGATATGGGGGGAGGGATTCCACTGTGACATTTTCACACATATTTACAATGTAAGGGATAAATGATTCTTGATGCCCAGTGGGTCTTACCCAATATAATTTGCACCTAAATAAACATAGGAAATGTTAAAAGATTTCTTTTTGTTTGTTTGTTTTGTTTTGTTTTGCTGGTCGTGGGGCCTGATCTCTGGGCCACATTCCCATCCCCTGTAGCACAGTATTTAAGGGGTCTAAATCATAAGCAACAAAAAGCATTTGGAAAGTCCTATACAAGAAATCTTTGCTGGGAAGGTGGCTCAGTAGTAGAGTGCTTGCCTTGCATGCATAAGGCCCTGGGTTCAATTCCTAAGCACCATATAAGAAGAAAAAGCTGGAAGTGGCATTGTGGCTCAAGTGATAGAGTGCTAGCTGAAGAGCTGAGGGACAGCACCCAAGCCCCGAGTTTAAGCCCCAGGACTGGTAAGAAAAAGAAAAAAAATACTGTGTTACAGGATGAAGTTTGCCATTATTAGCTTGGTGCCTTGGTAGATCTCTCAACATATAAGCCTCAGTTCCTCCATCCATGAAATGGAGGCAAATTCTACCTCACAGGGATGGTGTGAGGACTGAAAAAGAATGTGAGAAAATTCCAAAAACGTCGGTATAAAATGGGTGTCAAGGGCTGGGAAGGCGACTTAGTGGCACAGTGCTTGCCTTGCATGCATGAGGCCCTGGGTTTGACTCCTCAGCACAACATAATCAGAAAAAGCTGGAAGTGGTGCTGTGGCTCAAGTGGTAGAGTGCTAGCCTTGAGCCGAAGAGCTGAGGGACAGTGCCCAGGCCCAGAATTCAGGCCTCATGACTGACAAAAAAAAAAAGTGCCAAATAAATAATATTTTGCTTACAATTTTCCTATGTATCCGTGAGAGAAATATAAGTGAATCACTGCTTAATTCATAAAATCTATAGTTTTTGGACTATAGATATCCCAAATATGGTTTCTGGATCAATGGCATCAGCATCACTAGGGAACCTATGAAAAGTACAAACACTCAAGCATCGTGCCAGGACTTCTAAATCAAACCAGAAAACATGGGAGTAAGGCCAGACAATTTGTGTTTCAATAAGTCTCCCAGGTGGTCTTGATGCATTATGCTGTTCTACCAAAGTAGACATCCATACAAGCCCATTTGGGTTAGACAGATTTCTGATTATAGTTGTTTTTCTTTTCTTTCTTGTTACATTAGCATACATTAATTATAGTAAGATTTCTTTTTTTTCTTTCTTTCTTGTGTGTGTGTGTGTGTGTGTGTGTGTGAGTCCTGAGGCTTGAACTCAGGGCTTGAATGCTGTCCCTGAGCCTCTTTGTGTTCAAGGCTAGTGCTCTACCACTTGAGCCATAGTGTCACTTCAGGCTTTTTCTGAGTAGTTTACTGGAGATAAGAATCTCATGGATGCTGGGAAGGTGGCTCAGTGGTAGAGTGCTTGCCTTGCATGCATGAAGCCCTGGGTTCAATTCCTCAGTATCATATAAGCAGAAAAAGCCAGAAGTGGCGCTGTGGCTCAAATGGTAGAGCACTAGCCTTGAGCTGAAGAGCTGAGGGACAGCACCCAGGCCCAGAGTTCAGGCCCCACAACTGACAAAAGAAAAAAAAAACTAGAAAGTAGGTGACCCACCATTCTGGCCCCCTGCCACCCCCAAGTGTAGCTCTTTCACACAGTGCTAATACAGAAGTATAGGTTAAACAGGACCATCCATGACCTACTGGAAAGGTTCCAGAAAGTCAGTGTTCAGAAGGTAATAAAGGGACTAAGGCCAGCCTAACGCTCTGCCTCTCTACCCAGTAAGAGCCTAAGGAAGACAAGGCTGGCGGATGCCATTGCTTGGGCAAGGGAATAGGAGGGGGATGGAGTGGGGGTCCGGTGAAGATAATAGGAACTAGGTTGTGCCTTAGGTCGAATACTGACCTCATTGTTCTTCCTTTGTTAAGTGGACATAATTATATACCTACTTTGTGGATTTGCTCTGAGGGTTAAATGAAACCACATTTTAAGCACTGGGCACAATGCCACCACCCAATTTCTCAGTAAGCAGATTTTGCTGGTTTGGGCTTAGGGCACCAGGACCGAGGCATCTTTCTGTGAAGCATCGACTTTATTCTCAACAATCCAGACTTGTGCCAGAACAGGCCTGGGTAGATCTTCCCTCCACCTTAAAACCCTCCAGCACAAAGTGCAGGGCACGGAGCCTTCTAGGACCCCAGAGGGCTGTCAGACGCTTTCATCACCTTCAATCGTCCACCTGTATCTCTTCCTCGGATAGATGGGGTCCAGAATCAGGCCCGGTGGTGGCGAGGCTAGGACTCGGAGCGCCTTTGGGCAGTGCTAATTGGCACAGGACTCCCGGGGACAAGGAGCAGAGCGAGGCCACATCAGCGCGCATTTCCTCTACGTCCCGCTTGAGCTTGGCGCGGCGGTTCTGGAACCAAGTGACGACCTGCGCATTGGCCAGGCCAAGTCTCGCAGCCAGTCCATCCCGTTCCGAGGGTGCTAAATACTTCTGGAAGACAAATTGCCGCTCCAGCTCCAACACCTGCTGCGCGGTGAATGCCGTGCGCGACTTACGCTTCCTTCGGCTGGCCGGGCCCGCCCTCAGGGCTTCCTGGACCGCCCTGCCTGTGGGAATGAACGGAGTGAGGATCAGGCTGGGAGGAAAAGCTGGAGCCTAGGGTCAGGCCAGTGAGTCGGGAAAGAGGGAGGACGCCAGGACCAGAAAGAACCACTGTGCCTCACTGGGGTGCACAGACTCCAGTCCAGCGTGGACAGGGGACACAAAGCGCAGCCACCCACGGCAGTACATCCGCTGGACTCAGCCGAGGGACCACTGCTGGGGCAGGCGAGGATGAAGGGTAGGTGGGACGGCTGGGGAGGGGAGGAGACCGGGTGAAGGGTCAGTCCTGTCACAGCCCCGGGCTAAGCAGGCGAAACAGGTTAGGGGTGCTGCTAGCCAGAGCAGGACCTCGGTCGGTCCTAGCCCGGCAAAGGACCTCGGTTGTGGTCTCTCTAAGTCGTGTAGGACGCTCAATTGGCGCTTCCTTAGTGATACTCGGGCCATCTCTCTCTGAGCTCAAACGGGAGATGGTGAAAATACTGTCGACCAGGAAAGATGTAGAGTGCCCCCATCCCACGTCCCCCAACAGAATGCTCCGTTCTGGCACCCTCCTTAAGAACAAAGTGCCTAGGAACCGGACTCGGGAGTCTGCAGAGACTGGAGCCTCGCCTTCACCCGCAGTTTTCTCACTTGGTGCTCCAGCTCATTTGTTTACCAGAACTCAAGCCTTTTGTCTCCTCCCGGGCCATTTTCTTATTGAGATTGTCCCTGGTACAGCAACCACCACCAACCCACCAACCGCGCCGCCTAGCCCACTCCCGGGAGGGGACTGTTGATTCCTTGGTGTGACTGGGGAGTGTGGGAGCTATCAGCCTGGAGGCAGAGATGGGTCTCCTGACACGTGGACTGAGGACAGGGCTGGATAAAGGGGATCTGGTCAGAGGGAGAAGAAGGTTTGGGACTGAGAAGCAAGGAAAGAGAAATGGAGAGAGTCTGCCAAGTTAAAGAGTTCGCGATCTTGCCAGTGCTGTACCTTCAGAAGGCTGCGGAGCGCGCTGCCCGTCTAGTCGGAGGAAAGTTTTACTAGTCAGCTCTTCTAGTGCCCACAGCGGTGACCTGGGATGGGGATCCAAGCAGGACTCAGGAAGCTGTGGCCCAGAAGGTGCTCTGGGGACCAGGCGTGGGCCTAGAATGTCTGCGATGCTGAAGGGTGTCAGGGGCTGGCGTCCCGAGCTCATGGCCCGCCCTGATGTGGTGGTCCAGCTGCCCCCGCTGAGTTTGGCTCCACAGCCTGGACCCCCAGGGCTCTCTTCCCCATTTGGGCCCCTCGCCTCAGACCCGCCCCTAGCGCCAGGAACAGCCCCGTGTGCCCCTCCTTCTACACTCCTACTGCTCCCTCCCCGCCCTCTCTCCCCCAAGGGCCTCAGTGAGTCTGAAGTCCATAGATGTCTGGGTAGCCTTGCTTTCCTGGGGTGGAAAGGCGGGGGGAAAAAGAAGCTGGTTGCTCTTTACAGTGAGAAGTAGCTCGGGGCATATTGAAACAGGGCCCATACTCCTAGACTCTAATCTACCTAGGACACAGACTCCCTGACTGGCTTATCAACTCCTAGAGATTTGCAAAGTTCCAAGGAATCTGATCAGGGCTGATTGTGTTATAATTCCCAATCTCAGCTAGGACCTGTCTTCTAAACTGGTCCCCTCATCTCCATCAACTTCTGTGGAAAACACTTAAAAGAGATCCTGCTGGCTGGAAGTGATCAGGTCTAGGGGACAGGGGGAGGTGGGCAGCAAGAGACTTAGGAAGACCCAGCCAGGCAAAGGGACTGCAAAAATGTATAAGGAAGCGAGGTGAAGTGGAATAGACTATGCCCTACTATAGCTTAGAGGTCTCTAAATAAGAACATGTTGAGACACTGCCAGAAACCTGGCCTCAGGAGAGGTGACATGGAGAGTCCTAAATTGTCACTACTGCTCAGAAGAGGTTGTTGCCAATGAGGACTGGCCTCCATTGAGGGCCTCCTGCTCACTATATTGGTCCATCAGTGAATCTCTGTCTTTTTATTAAGCTCCCAGAGTTCAGGTATTGTTTCTTCAGCCTAAGGTTCAGAGGAGGCCAAAGGGAATCAGCGCTTCTAACCAGTATAGGGTCACTTGCTATGGAAGACTGATTTAACAGAACCAACTACATCTTGGGAGAAACATCTCTGCCAGCTGAGGCACAAATTCTGAGGCCTGGTCTTTTTGTTCTTATGTTGTGTTCCATCTCTCTCCCCTTTCTCCCACACTTATTTTGGTCCTAAGCTTACACCTGGATGAGCATCCCAGGCTCTTCCTATGTAGAAAGAAGGCAACTCTGGGACAGTACAAAGAAGAAGGGGCAGTGGAGGCCCAATAAGGTGGGTTTCCTTCCTCTATCCCACCTCAGATAGCTGGAGGCTTCACAGCCTACAGTTATAGAAGCCCTACCACTTTCAAAGAAGGTGCTGTTTTACTGCTAAGTCAGAAATCTTTTTTTTTTTTCTCCAGACCTAGGGCTTAGGGCCTGGGTACTGTCTCTGGGCTTCTTTTTGCACAAGGTTACCATTCTACCACTTGAGCTACAGTGTCACTTCCAGCTTTTTCTGTTTATGTGATACTGAGGAATCGAACCTAGAGCTTCATGTATGCTAGGCAAGCACTCTACCACTAAGCCACATTCCCAGCCTGAAATCAATTTTTGATTTAAAAGTTTTTTTTTTTTCCTAAAAGGACCAGTCCACTCCTGGATTATCCATTATGTCACCAAACCTGTAGACTGATCTTTGCATATCCCACTAGTGCCTTTCTATATTCCACCTGTCCATTCCCTGAGGAAGTAGTTGGGGACCAAATAGGGCTTAGAAGATCCTAGGTGTCTAGGCTCAAAGACTCTTTGACAAGGTACATTTATAGTGGGGAGTCTCCTTAGTAGTGACACCCCCAGTTCCCAGATACCTAAACCATCAAGCAGTTTCCTAATGACAGCCTGTACAATATACTTGAGGCTTGATGGGCCATTGCTGGGTCAGAGAGCAGAGCCAGGCCACTGTGGAAAGCTGAGCTGCCTCAGGACCTTGTTAATTGGTTATTAATGTTGAGGGGCAAGGGAGGGCAGGAGAGAGACTCCTCCTGCAGGCCTCAGCACTCAGCCCTCACTATGCTTGTGGTTTCAGTTAATCTGCAATTAAAGCAGATCCCAGGAGGCAGCAGGAGCAGCCCTACTGCTTCCCTGGCATGTATGTCACCAAACAGACACTGCAATCTTTCCTCATGCATCCAGTATATGGCTTTTTTATGTGCATTTCTACCTCTGCTCTCAATTACTCCAGTATGTCTGTAAGGAGCTTGGGGCTCTCCTAATGGGCCTCTGCCTTCCTCCACTTCCACCTAGGCTAATTACCTTCTCTCTCTGCAACCGGGCTCAGGTAATGGGATTGGATGGTTCTCAGACAGAGATTTGGGGGAGAGGAAAAGTGGAGACTAATAAAGGGAGGATGCCTCAGACAACAGAGGCCTTATGAAGGTCATTCCATCAGCCAGGGACTCACTCAGACTATCCTGGGGCCACAGAAGGGGGCTCTTTTTCCCCTAGTGAAGCGTCTGGAACGAGCTAGGGGGAAACTGGATCCGCAGAGAGGGGTAGAGGAGCATGAGTGATTAATGAGGGAGATTAAGAGATTAAACTTCAGTTCTGGGTTTGAGAGGGGGGGCCTCAACTGCCTAACAGACTCCCCCGAAACCCAGCTGGGGAGCGCAGAAGCTCCTGGGTACCTAACGTCCTAACATGCCTCTTCCAGCCGTTATCTCATACCTCGTACCTCCCATGGGCAGATCCAGCCCTCCTTGTCATAGATCCTTCTTGGGAGATCTACCTGACTAGTGTTTCACCACAGCCTCCCCCATCCATCTAGGACAATCTCTCATGTCTCCAACCTCCTCATTCGCCTCTGTTTGCCCCTTCAGACACTTTGAGGTTTGAAAACCCCTATGCCTTGCAATGATCCTCAAATGCCAACCTTTACTCAGGACTCCCCTGATCACAGCTTTTCCCATTCTTCTCCTTCCCCAATGCCCCCCCCTTCCCATTGCCGCACACCCACGCATTTAACCAGGCCCAGCACAGCTCGCTCCACCCCCCATGGACTGCTCAATAAACCACCTTTTAAAGTCTGAGTCTCCGACCCAATCATTCTTCTAAATTTTGGGTATAAAGGGATCGACTGGAGACCCTCAGAATAGGCGTCAAGGACAAGAGCAATCTCACAGACACGTTTACTCTTCCCTCTCTCACTCTTACACAAAATCCATGAATTAGAGTGAGAGGGAAATGGGAATTTAGGGAAGAATATCTGGGAGAGAAGGGTGGGCAGGGTGTCAGACTATCTAGCATATTTCCTCGAATTTCTCTTTCAGAAAGTGTTACTGAGGAGTGGCTGGACGACTCTTCCATTTTTACTTTAGTTTTGGATCGGTGAGTTGTGAGTTCTTTCCAGCCTGTCCTCCAGTTCACAAAGGGCTCTGGCACCCAGTCGAACCCGGGTGTGTTGGCTAGGAGCCCAGGAGCGGCTGTGCATTCAGGCCCTATCTGCTCACAGTTCTAGGAAAATCCTTTTTTTCCAGGTCCCTCCTCTCTTCCCAAAGGCTTGGGAGAGACTGGCCACGCTGAACCCAGTACTTTACTCTGCAGGTGAACAAGGGAGCCGAACCTCCGCGCAGCCAAATCTTTGGACTCCAAAGCACTGCATTCTGCTGAGTTCCGGGACCAGAGCCAGCCCATGAGAATCGTGGGCGTGGTTTATCCAATGAAGACACTAAGACCCAAGTGACTTTGGGGTGAGAGTGAGGAGGGAAAATGGACCTGCAGGCTAGGGGCAGCCCGCACTGAGTCGGAAGCTGACCAACATCAGCTACCCTGGGAGACACCACGGCGGCGCTGAAAGACAAAACGAAGGCGGTGGAGTAGGGCAGAGCCCAGCTGGAGTGAGGCGACCCACGGTTTCATGCCAGATCCTGTTTCACGCCAGATCCTAACAGGACTGCCTTCAGCTGCTCCTTAGCCTCAAGCCATGTGTCATTAAAAGCCTCAACCCAAAGCTTAACGCTGAGTTTTCCCTGCGTCCAGCATTTAACCTTTAAGTCAGATGTGGTTGTCGCTAGGTTATGGTCTTGCCTCAGAGGTGCAAGAAGCAGATCCCATTCTGGGTAGGGGGAAGGAGTTTCTGGAAGTAGCGAGAGAAGCACCGGCCCTCAGCAGTGGGAGGAGCATTTCAAGTTTTAGAGACCCAGTACTGGGGAATTGTGCCCAGTCTCCGTGGTGAGGACACTGGGGTTCCCAACACCTGCCCCACCTACTCAAAGTTCTCAGTACTTTTAGTCTCTTTACTTTCCCTTCCTTGGTGGCATTCTTCCTTCAAAAGGAATGGTGGGATTCCAGGCAGTATAAGAAGATGAAAAAGCTCCATGTGTCTTAGCTAGGTCCATAGCCTCTACTGTAATCATTCTCTGCCACTGGCCTCCCACCGTGCAAGCTGTCACCAGCTATACACTGACCCTCTTGAACAACTACAGCCAGACTTCGGTCTGTGTGGTATTTAGCTCACTCTGTTTATACTACCAGCTCCATCCTGCTAGCTGGATTCCACTGCCTCTCTGTTGCTTCTTTCATGACGTTTTTGCTTGGGCCTTTGTTGGGTAAGTTTCTAGATTCCTCACCTACAGGCCCAAAGAAAAAGGCCACTGGCTGGGTTTATTGCCTGAGCCCAGCAGGAGGGCCTGAGTTTACTGATGACTAGGAATGCTGGCCAAATCAATCAGTTGGGTCAGCACCCTGTCATTAGCTGCTTGTTCTTTGATGTGGCCCTTGTTCTCCACATCAGCAATCTTCCCCTTCAACTACTCTTTACAGGCCCAGTCTCCAAGGCCTGCAGGATCCTACATGGACAGCCAGGCCTCCAAATCTGACTACCCCAACACCTCCCATTCTTATTTCTTGTTTCCTAGGTTATAAAACCAAAGTGCGATTTTTTTCCTTTTTTCACTTTTCTTCAGTGGCAGCGGACATGGTCCAAGCCTGACCCTTCTCTTCGTGTTTAATTAGGACTCCTCCACTCATGATGTGGCACAAGTCAGTAATAGCTGCTCTCCAAAAAACTTTTCTTTACCACAAAGGTCTGCTGGGGGTGGCGGAGATTCTGTTAATTCACTTTCTGAGTTTTACTTAGAGAGTGTCCTCTATTCCTTTGGTAAGACATTAAAAGAGCAAATGTTGGTAGAAAAGAGAACTTTCTTCATATTGATACTCAAAGAAAATTTTTCAGGACAAAGCTTGATTGTGTGGGAAGGAAGGTTAAGGAGGAAGAAGAGAGGTGCTTTTAAAAAGCTTTTATTTCAAAAAATAAAGCCACGGTTAATTTCACATAAATATCTGGGGAGGGAAGGGGAGAGGATTGGGTGGGGCTGGGCCCCTACCTCCTCTTCTCTTTTACACTGTATTGTAAAAGCAAAGGGGATGGCTAAGGAGAGAACAAAGGGAAGTAGTCAGTGGGACAGTATTATTATGAAGGGTCCCCAATATACCCTTATCCAGAGGACTGCCTTGGCCCTGGCTTACCTTGCCGAACCAGCGAGACAACCAAATCTGTTTCATTGTCATGTGATCAGGGAGAACTTCATTGTCAAAAAGGAGCTGTACCTAGGAAGAAGACAGAGGTACAGTTTTAGGAAATCTCCTCTTGTCCTAGAACTACCATGGACCGCCCTACATTTTATTCCAACTTCCTTTTCGGCCCTATTTTTTGTTGTTGTTGTGGTTGGTCATGGGGCTTGAACTCTGGGCTTGGGTGCTATCCCTCAGCTCTTCAGCTCAAGGCGAGCACTCTACCGCTTGAGCCAGTGCCACTCTGGTTTTCTAGTGGTTTATTGGAGATAAGAGTCTCACAGACTTTTCTCCCCGGACTGGCTTTGAACCTTGATCCTCAGATCTCAGCCTCCTCAGTAGTTAGGATTACAGGTGTGAGCCACTGGTGCCTGGCTTCAGCCATATTCTTAAAAAAAAAAAAGTGTGGGATTACTCACATTCTGTGGATTTAGCATCAGGCGTTGACAAAGGACCCTCCGGAGATGGCGTACCTCAGCTCTAACAGAACATCTAACATACTTGTTCTAGGGGCAAGGAAGGGAGGGAAGAAGAAAGGGTGCATGAATAAAGTGTTACTGGGATATGAGACCCTTTAAAGAGGTTCTCCCTTCAGCCCTTCTCACCTGCAGGACATTTTTATTCTTGTCTTTGCCAGAACTGAAGAGAAACAGATACAGGTTAGGAAGCTCAATCTTTCCCTTTTAGGGCCTTACTATACACCCTATAGTAAGTGCTTGACCTCCCCCAAGGCTTTAAGTCATCAGCACCTAACACACCCACTGACTTCCCCTCACCTCAGCCGCTCCAGGCATAAGCTCAGCTGTTCATCATAGCGATAGTAGTGGGCTTTTGAGTGGTCGAAGCTGCTGAAGGGGAGGCCAAGGTTGCTGAGGGCTGGCTCTAAGAAGAATGGGGGACTGAGGTACAGGTTCCATACCCCTCTTTTCCCAGAGAATAAAACTGGGTAGAGAAAAGATCTGGAGGCTCTACTTTACCCCTCCACTGCCAGGGACATACCTTCCCCACTGGGCTGGGTGACCCTGTCCAAGCCTCGGGACTGGTAGAATTCCCGAATCCGTTTCTCTTCACCTAGAAGGGGGAGTGAAGTACAGGAATAACGTATTCATTTTGTTCCTGTGTCTGTTGACAACTTTACTTCCATGAGTCCCACCTAAGCCTTTGTTATCTCAAGCTGCTTTAGTCCTCAAGAGGCCCACTAAAGTCAAGTCGGTCACTCACTGTCTTGCAAGCCAGGCACTAGCTTGTACACGATGTCCTGCATGACCCGGTCTAGTTTGAGGTTTAGTAGTGGCTGTGTCTCATGGATCTTGATGTTACACATGGGGCAGTATTTGCTGGTTTGGAGGTACTTCACAATACAACTCTTGCAAACTGCCAGAAGAGAAAAAAAACAACAGACTCTCAGGCTATTTGGGAACTCAACTCATAGAATGGGTGGAACAAATAGCAGAGGCTGGAAGTCAGCTTGATCAGAACTAGGGCCTGGAAAAACCAGACAGGATCCGGGGCACTCACAAGTATGAAGACACTCTGTGATTGTGGTGGCATCCACGAAGTAGCCTGCACACAGGCAGCAAACAATATGCTCATTCAGGTCTTTGATCTTCACTCGGACCTCTTCCTAGGGACGGACACACCTTCGGTCACCAATCAACCGTCCGTCACACCCCCACCCTAACCCACCTGGTGCACCTTCCCAGCTTGGGAGCTGTCTCTTTCATCAGACTCCACCGTCCAGTCCCGCAGGCAACGTCAACCAGGTTTGAACTCCCAAGGGCTGGCACTCCCCCTCCGCCCAGCAGAGGGCTCCGCGCACAGCGGGGGTTCCTCTTGTGTGGACTCGCCCGACCTTCCTTTCCCGGGGGAGACTACACGACGTTGGCCGCTCAGTGCGCAGGCGTCCTAGCGCGGAGTTTGGCAACTCAGCCACAATCGCGCATGCGTACCTAGTACCCTGTCGACGCGCACGCGCACTGGGCATTTGGCCAGCTACTGCCAGTGCCCTAGCCCTCCCCAGTTCACATTGTTAGCGGACCGTAGCAATAACCCTGCTGCCCCTGCACCTCGTTCCGTAGCGGGTCCATCTTGTACACTGACTGGAGCTGGTTCCGAAGCCTCATCGCGATCGCAATCTGGCCCCCCTGAGGAGACGCCATCTTAAAGGCTGATTCTGGCCTGCCACTTCCGGTGCCGCCTGCAAGGCGGGACTTGTCTCCCGGCAACGAGGGCCAAGGCCTTTTCGGATTCGTTCACCAAATGAAAAGCCCCGCCCATGTTCCTTTCTCCCGGTGTGCTCACCTGAGCCACTTTGGTCCCTCCCCCTCCCCCCGTCAGTAATTAGGAGTGAGTGTGTGAGTGTGTGGGAAGGCCCTACATCTTCGACCTCCTGTGGGAGTCCTCCTAATAGACCCTACCCGACCTCGGGACTAACTTTTGGAGCCTGCTAAAGACTGTCTCCTGTCCCCAAAGGCCCGGCGATCACCTCCCGCTCCTGCACTGGGACGTCGGGCTCGCGTGACTACTCCGACTACTCCGCTGCCTCTCCCCGGGCCTCCTTCCTCCCCCCTCCCCCCGGCCCCCCGGTCCCCCGGCCCCCCGGCCCCAGGTCCTGTTCTTCTGATGCTGTCGGGGTCGACCGATGAGTCAGTGTTCCGGAGCGATCGCCAGAAGTGGGCCTTCTGACCGCTCCACGGCGGGAGTTTCTCCCCGCTTTGCAGCGTCTCAGAGAGGGTGCCGGGTGTTGGGGTGGGGAAGGAGAGACCCCCGGGGACTTGGTAGTGCTCTTACCGCCCCCCCTCACAGTCCCCCCTGCTGCCGGGGGTGGGGGGGCAGGCCCTAGTTAATGATGATGATTTAATCATCGGCGCCTGCGGAGGCCTGGGACAGACTAATGCAGAGCAGATGCCTAAGGAGGAGGGGAGGATGACTAGGACACTGCAGCACAGACACACTTAGGCAAAGGGAGCCTGCAGTAGCATAGGCCCAGCCTCGCACCTGGGGAGGACGCAAGGGTCCTGAGGGCTTGTACACTACCTGGATCGCTACAGTGAAGATGAAAAGGAATAAGTACTGTGAAACACTGGAGAGTCAAGAAGTGGGGGAAATACCAATGCGAACCTGCAAAGGCACCTTTGAGTTAAAGAGGCACAAGTGAGAAAGCAGGGAGAACTGTGATGGAAATAAATAAATAAAAGAGTGATAGGGGGCTGGGAAGGTGGCTCATTGGTAGAGCACTTGCCTTGCATGCTCCAGGCCCTGGTTCGATTCCTCAGCACCACAGAAGAAGGTGAAGATGTGCGTTTGAGTGATTTTTAGAGTTGGTATTTTTGGAACAAGCAGGTATGAGTAGTGTATGTGTGTGTAATGATTCCATGAACGGAATAAAATATCCATTTCTCTTCAGGATGAATTGGAGAAGATAAAACAGCAAAAAGGCATGAAAATAGTAATTTATTAGCTTATTACAGCCATCATCTCTTCTCTGAGTGATTGTAGTATCTTCTTGACTGCTCTACCTGTGTCCACCTTTGCTCCTATTTAGCCTATTCTCCCACAGCTACTTAGAGTAGTTCTGATAAATCATGAATCAAAAAAGGAAACAAGGGGCTGGGAAGGTGACTCGGTGGTAGAGTGTTTGCCTCACATGCATGAGGCCCTGGGTTCGATTCCTCAGTACCAAATAAACAGAAAAAGCCAGAAGTGGTGCTGTGATTCAAGTGGTAGAGCACTAGCCTTGAGCCCAAGAGCTGAGGGACAGTGGCCAGGCCCAGAGTTCAGGCTCCAAGACCGATGAAAAAAAAAAAAAAAAGACAACAAAAAAAGAAGTTAGACACTGGTGGCTCACATCTGTCACCCTAGCTACTCAGGAGGCTGATATCTGAGGAACGTGGTTCAAAACCAGCCCAGCCCAGGCAGGAAAGTCCATAAGATTCTTATTTCCAGTTAATCAGCAAAAAGCCAGAAGTGGCTCAAGTGGTAGAACATTAGCCTTGAGCAGAAAACCTTAGGGTCAGAGTCCAGGCCCTGAGTTCAAGCATCAGGACCAACACACACACACACACACACACACACACACACACACACACACACACACACACAAAGGAAACAAAGACACTTTTTCCCCCTAATTTACTTTATTGTTGTTTTAGAGGTGATATACAGCAAAGACACTTTTTGATGGCTATGTTGTTTAGATTATTGTAACAGTTTAATGGGTATATACATATATCAAGAATGATTAAGTTATACACTTTAAATATCTGCAGTTTATTATACTTTAACAACGCTGTTCAAAATAAAATTTTAAAAAATCAGATTGTTTCTTCTATATAAAAAACTTTTGTTAGGACTGGAGTGCGGGGAATGTAGCTTAATAGTAATAAGTGTCCTTTTCTCCAAGTTCTGGGTTCACCACCAGCACCAGAAAGCAAACATTTAAAACAACCCCTGATAGATGGCTTCCCTTTTCAGTCAGCATTCCTTATAATGGTCTTAATGGTCTGAATGGCCCTGCGTAGTCTCTGTGCTCACACACTGCTCCACAGACACCAGAATATTTTCCTGCTATGTCTCCAACTCCAAGTGCTAAATATCCAAACACTTCTTCCTCCTTTTTTTTTGAGGGGGGGTAGTCCTGGGGCTTGTGCTCAGGACCTGGGTGCTGTCCCTGAGCTTCTTGTGCTCAAGACTAGTACTCTACCACTTGAGCCATAGCAGCACTTCTGGCTTTTTCTGTTTATACGGTATTGAGGACTCGAACCCAGGGCTTCATGCATGCTAGGCAAGCACTCTACCACTAAGCCATATTCCCAGCCCACTTTCTCTTTCTGAGTCTTCACAAGCTTTTATGATCATTCTAGATAACTTACCCACCCACTCTTATATTCCTTGCTTATTTTCCTCCTTCTCCATCTCCCTCTCCCTTCCCCCTCCCCCTCCTCCCCCTCTTCCTCCTCTTCCCCTTTCCCTTCTTTTGGTACAAGACAGGACTAGTACCTGACACTTTCAGTTCATTGGCTAGCAATCTACCAACTGAGCCATGCTTCCAACTCCTTGCTTATTTTTCTTATTATGTGTTATTTTTTAGCATTTATTAGTATCATCTTTTTTTTTTGCCAGTCCTGGGGCTTGAACTCACGGCCTGGATACTATTTCTGAACTTCTTTTGCTCAAGGTTAGCACTATACCACCAAGCCATATTCCTAGCCCCTAGTAACATTTTTTAAGATGGGGTCTGTGTTCTCTAGGCTGTCTTGGGGTGCTACAGCACCCCAAATTGCCAGGATTATAGTCATGTACCATCATACCTGGCTTTATTATAATTTAATATATATATTTTTGCATTAGGTATTTCTCATATTTTGCTAAAATTTCATGCCTTTCTAGAATGTAAGCTTTTCAGAGGTAGGTGGGTTTTTTTCTCCCTTTTTCTTTCTTATTTACAGCTGTATCTTCAATGCCAGGCACATAATAAGTGTTAAATTTTTCTGGATGAACACCACCCCATTTGTTAGGAAATGGAAAGACAGGAAAAAATCATATTAAGTAAAGTAAGCCAGACCCAAAGAAATATAAGTCTCATAGTTTCCCTCATTTGCAATAATTAGTATACATCTAAGATAATGTTATCTGATGAGCAAAAAACTCAAAAGCTATGACCATATAAGATAATGCTAAGTGAAATGACCCTAAGATATGGACACAAGAGCTCTTTCTTTGTTGTTGCTTTTAATGTACTATTTGATTTTATTTTTTGTTTCCTTTGTATGTTCTTCCTCCTATGGTATACCCCTGTTGTCACTGTACTTGATTTTGGTACTCTGCATCTTATATATACATTTGTCCAATTTAGGGGAATAACAAAACACTGAAACAAGGACATAGGATGACCCATTGCAACAATGATACCCACAAGATAGTATATTGGAAATGAACTTTACAACTTGAGGTGGGGGAGTGATCGAGTTGGGGAAGGGAAGGGATAGTGGGAGAACTATAAGGAAGGGAGTAACAATGCTCGACAAGAAATGTACTCATTGCTTACTCACGTAACTGTAACCCCTCTGTGCATCTTTACAATAAAATAAAATTTAAAAAATTTTAAAAATCAAATGAGTGAATACAAGTGGTGATGGTGACAGCCTAGATTAGGGCTTCAGAAAAGGAAAGGAAGAGTTGCATTTGAAACTTCAAAGCAAAGCATAATAGAAGGAAGTAGCTAGAGGCCTTTTTTCTTTCTTGGCTGTGTGGGGCCTGAACTCTGGGCCTGGCTGCTGTCCCTTAGCTCTTCAGCTCAAGGCTAGTGCTCTACCACTTGAGCCACAGTACTACTGCTGGCTTTTTCTGCTTATGTGGTGCTGAGGAATTGAACCCAAGGCTTCATGCATGCAAGGCAAGCACTCTACCACTGGGCCACCTTCTAAGCCCCCAGGGCCCGGCTTTTGTAGACCTGGGTAAAAGGTGAATGAGGAACTTTAGTGTTTCCAGACAGTTCCATTTAAGGTGCCTGCAGGAAAGGCATGTGAAGCTGGCCAGAGGTTTGGAGAGTGGTGGATTTCAGAGTGTGGTGCTGTACATCTGGTGTCAGTCCTGTCTTGAGGGTGTGAGAGTTACGACTATTGGAATGGGTGAGACCAGAGCAGATACAGAGGAAAAGAAAGCTGCAGTCTGAGCTCTGTAGAATTTTCAGTCTTCAGTAGGAGAAGCAAAATCAGAGGAGGAAAGACAGAAAAGTAATATTCAAGTAATATTCAAAAGTGTAGAATAAGACAATATTACAGAAGACAAAAGAAAGGACATTTCAAGAAAGAGCTGTGAAGCTGAGGCCGGTGTCTCATGCCTATTATACTAGCTACTCAGATCTGAGGATCGTGGTTCAAAGCCAGCCTGGGCAGAAAAGTCCCCATAGATACTAATCTCCAATTTATCACCAGAAAGCCAGAAGAGGAATGGTGGCCCTGAGCAAAAAGAGCTCAGGGACAGGTCCTAGGTCCTAAGTTCAAGCCCCACAACTGACAAAAAAAAAAAAAAAAGCAGGGGGAGGAAGAAAGAAAGAGAGTATGAAATAAATAAATTTGTGGTCTTCAAAGAAAAACATGTTAGAGAAATCCTGGAGAAGGGACACACCAGACACCAGAACGCTTTGAAAAAGTTAGTGTTAAACAATAAATGAGCTTGGTGTTGGTGGCTCATGCCTGTAATTCTAGCTACTTCGGAGGCTGAGATCTGAGGATTGCAGTTCAAAGCCAGCCCAGGCAGAAAAGTCTCCATGAGATTCTTATCTCCAAACAACCACTCAAAAACTAGAAGTGGAGCTGTGGCTCAAAGTGGTACAGCAACTAGCCTTGAGCTAAAGAGCTCAGGCACAGTGTCCAGGTCCTGAGTTCAAGCCCCACAACTGCCAAAAACAAAAACAATAAATGGTGAGGAAATGGGCATAGACAATAAAAGAGGGAAAACAATCATTTTGTGGAGTCAGGCAGGGATGATAAGGATCTGAGACGGTAGAAAGGACTCGGTAGAATTCGGTAGAATAGAGAAACGATGGTAGAGGAGTGGGGACCATTGTGAAAGAACCCAAAGGAAGGGAAAGAACAGGGACTGAGGCTGGAACCCTCCCCCCCCTGTGAAGCTGCAGATTTGAAGGGCTGAAAAACTTGGGGCAGGACATAGACATATAGAATGTGGTAAGACATACAAGGGCGTGTGTATGAGAAGGTGCTCACCCTAGGGCCTCCATCTTCAACTTGAATTAGTAGAAGTCATTCTTTCTCTGTGGATCAGAGGTAGGGACAGGAAGGGAAATTCCTAAGGCCCGTGGCTAATACAATTAGACGTCCTCTGTCCTTTAACATTTGTATATACAACTAAGTTGGTGACTATTCTCAAAAAATCAGGCCATCTCTTGTGTCACTTCCATCTGTGCTGACTGCAAAAAGTGGTATTAGCCAGGTCAATACTGTGTTAGCCTTTCCTTGTTCACGGATTCATTCATTGGTTCATCCAAGAAGGATTTTTGGTTGGGGACTCACTGTTACTCTCCATCATCCAGCACTCCCCTAAGCAGAGGAAGGGGCCGGCAAACTCCTAACCTGTATGTAGGCCAGCCTCCTCAGAGCTCCCTTTCTTTTTTTTTCTGTCTCCCTAGACTCTCCATTCCCACTGGGTGGAATCCAGCCTAGGAAGTTCTGAAAGCTTTGCCCCTGTCAGCTGCTGATACAGGGGGAGGGGATTGTTGGGAGGGAGTAGGGCAGGTGATGATTTTCTGGGGGAGTGGTAGTGGGGTTTGAACTCAGGGTCTCACACTGAATCAGCTTGCTGGCTTGACTGGTGTTCTACCTCCTGAGCCACTCCTCCAGCCTGAGATAATGATCAGGTCTGTCTTCTTTAGCAACTGCCAAATTGGCAGGAGCCAACCACACTTTTTCAGAAGGGGCTGTGAGCATATCTGAATAAAGGCTGAAGAACTGGATTATAGAGGTGATCAAGGTGAAGGAAGTTATGTATTATTATGATCATCCTTTACAAACTGAGGCTTCTGAGAACAGAGAGAGTGCGAGAGAGCAAGCAAGAGAGCGAGAGAGAAGAGAGGAGAGAGAGAAGAGAGAGTGGAGAGAGAGAAGAGAGGAGAGAGAGAAGAGAGAGTGGAGAGAGGAGAGAGGAGAAAGGAGAGAGAGAGGAGAGAGAAAGGAGAGAGAGAGAAAGGAGAGAGAGAGAGAAGAAGAAGAGAGAGAGAGAGGGGGAGGGAGGGAGGGAGAGCGAGTTTGGGGGGTGGCGTTGAGTGATGCCTGTTCAGATGCCCAAATATCATTCCTGGTTCCCAGGAGGGACAAGACCCCCTCACCCTGCCCCAGGCGCCAGGCTGCCAGTCCATCTGGTGGGAAAAAGAAAGGAGGGGGGAGTCTTTCCCTAGGGATCCTGGAAAATCAGTTGGAAGATCCGTATGCCAGGGAGATCTATCTACTAAACTTAAAAGGCATTTCGATTCACACGGGCAATCAGCAGGGTGGAGCTGGATGCGGGAGTGGACTGGGGGTAAGGGTCGAGGGTTGGCACTAGGAGCCGGGTCCTTTGGCCACCACGTGTCAGAACTGCTCTTCGGTGCCCACCCGCAGCTGGATGGTAGGAGCGCCCCCCCTTTCCCGGCGCCCAGTATCACCGGCTCGGAGGCGCCAGGGCCCCCCCCAGGGCCGGGGCGGGCTGGGGAAGGTAATGTAATTCTGACCCAGCTAACCTGATTATGGCGGCCTGCACCGGGCAGGGTGGCGGCGGGGGCGGGCCTAAAGCTCTGGGGCCCGCCCGGCAGGGGTCCCATCCCAGGGTAGGATGCAGAGTTCACACACTCCTAGTTGCAGGGTCTGCGGTCCAAGGCCACGAGGTCATCTAGCGGCTTCAGCCTCTTCCCACCTCGTTTTACCCGCACGCTCTAGGCTCATTTTCTGGGGCTTGGGTGGAGTGCGACGAAGGGTCCATGGGAAACGCGGAGGCCACGATCCTCCCAAGGCCTTAGTGAGTCCCACGTGTGCCCGTGCCCGTGCTGCCTTTGAGAGGGGCGAGTGTGGGAGAATGGACTTCCTAGGCGCGCAGAACAGGGAGAACGAATCCTGCGTTGGGGAGTCCTGTACTCGGGCTAGAGTTGTTTCCGTTGAAACAACGGGTCCGCTTTTATAGAGGTTTCTAAATACTGAAATTCTAAGAAGCTGGGCAGCAATTACTGCGCTCTCAGAGGAGGCTGCGCGAGTCCAGAAGGAGAGGCCGGGAGGTGCCCGGGAAGATCTCCACCCAGACCCGTGGTTCCCGGGCTTTAGCAACCCCCCCCCCAACCCCCGAACGCGCCTTGTCATCCCCTTCCCACACCTGTTCTCTTCCTGGGCCTTCAGATCGCGGATCGCCGTTTCCCCCAGCCACTTCTTTATGCAGCTGGGAAGCCACAACGAGATTTGGTCTTAGCGGGCACTTGGGCGGGGGCCACAACGAATCTGGGAGTTGGAAAGCCGGACCCATCGGGAGGCGGGGAGTGGGGGCTGGGGGAAATAGGCACCTGCGGAGAAAGCCCGGGAGCCGGACGCAGCCCCAAGGCGGACGCCCAGCCAGGATGGAGGCGCGGTGAGCTTCTCGCGGCTGACTCAGCGGCCCACGCTCCGGCCCCTCCCGCGCCGAGCCGGGTTCCCAACACCCTGGGCCCTCCTCAGCCTCCGCCCGCCCGCCCCGCACCTCCCGGGCCCGTGCTTGGCGCAAACAGGCCTCCCTTCCCCTTTAACGGCGGGGCCCCGCCCCTGCCCTACCCTCAGCCCCCTCTCCCCACCCGAGGCCGACCTGTCAGTCACACTGCCCCGGCCCGAGCTGGCCAACCCTCTCCACCCGGGACCGAGGCAGCGGCTTCGGCAGCTTACGGTCCATCTGCACTTGAGAGTCAGCCAGGGAGCTCCTGGGGCCCCGGCCGGCCACGCTCCTCCGGGATGCCAGTCCCCGCGCCGACGCCCGGCAGGGGCGGGCGCCCGCGCGACGGCTCTCGGCGCACAGGGATGCTGGTATTCCGGGGGCCCCGGCGACCGGCCGTGACCAGACCCGCGGGCCCCTGAAGCCGCAGCTCCGATCGCCCTGCCGCTGGGCTCCCGGGAGCTGAGCATCCTTCCCAAACTACAGAACCTCCCCGTGGTTCTCCCTGGCTTGGACCTATGGAGCCTGCGGTGCTGGCTCCGCACCACCTTCCGCACCACGAACCCATTAGCTTTGGCATCGATCAGATCCTGAGCGGCCCCGAACCCCCGGGAGTCGGCCTAGGCCCGGGTCGTGCGGGCCAGAGCCATGGTGACACTGCGGCGTTCTCGAGTGGATTCCACGGAACCTCAGGCTTTGGTCCTACAGGCTCGCTGGCCCCGCTGTCCAGCGGCTCTGGAGTGGGCCCGGGCGGCGTGATTCGCGTCCCCGCGCACCGTCCGCTGCCGGTGCCGCCGCCAGCGAATGGCGCTCCTGCGGTGCCCGGGCCCTCGGGTTTGGGCGGCGCCGGGGCCCTAACGGGACTCACCTTCCCCTGGATGGATAGCGGCCGCCGCTTTGCCAAGGACCGACTCACCGGTGAGGTTGCCCGACCCCCTCCAGCGTCATGCCCCACGCTGACCCGTTTTAACCTTCTCTTAGCTTTCATATCGTCGCCCAAGCGTGGATCTCTTGGTTCTATCCATGAGAGGCAATGGGTGGGTAGTTGTCGTTGGTGCCCGAGATCTCCTCGGGCAGCTCCCCTGTCATCAGCGCAGGGAGATGGAAATTATGGGAACCGATCTATACCTTCCCTCTTCCTTATCCCCTTGGATAAGAAGAATTGGCCCTTTCTTGTCTTTTTGAGGGATACGGCGTGGGCAGGCGTGCGGAACTAGGGCTTGAACTCAGGGCCTTGACCTCGTTAAGCCACACGCCGCCTCTTGAATCATACCTCCAACCAGCTCTGTTAGCTCTGGTTAATTTTAAGAGTCTGGCCCGGACCAATACTATTGACGCTCCCCTCGAAGCTAGGATGACAGGTGCACTCCATCACATCCAGCTTTTCATTGGCTGAAATGGAGCCCTGACTTTTTGCTCAGGTTGGTTTGGAATCCCCCCTCCCCCCATTCTATGGATCTCAGCCTCCCAAGTAGCTAATCCCAGGTGTGAGCCTCAGTGCCTGCCCCTCCCTCCCTTCTTTCTTTTCTCCCTCCATCCTTCTTCTTTTCCTCCTCCTCCTTTTCCTTTTTCTTGAACTCTTGGGCTGGAACTCTTGGGCCTGGGCACTCTCCCATCCTTTATTCCGCTCAAAGCTGGTGCTCTACCACTTGAACCAAGCCTCCACTTCCAGCTATTTTTGCTGGTTAATTGGAGATAAGAGTCTCATGGACTTTCCTGCCTGGGCTAGCTTCAAATCTGCATCTTCAGATCTCAGTCTTCTTTTTTTTGGGGGGGGGGATCCGGTCATGGGGCTTGAACTCTGGGCCTGGGCGCTGTCCCTCAGCTCTTCAGCTCAAGGCTAGCACTCTACCACTTGAGCCACAGCGCCACTTCCGGCTTTTTTCTTTTTGCTTCAGTCTTCTGAGTAGCTAGGATTACAAGCTTCAGCCACTGGCCCGCGGAATGCTTTCCCCCTTTCTTTCTCTTCCTCTCCCTTTCTTCCCTTCCTTCGTTCCTTCCTTTCTTCCCTTTCTCACTTCCTTCCCTCCCTCCCTTTCTTCCTTCCCTTCTTTTCTTTCTCTTCTTCCTTCCTTCCTTCTTCCCTTCCCTCCTCCCTCTCTCTGTCTCTCTCTCTTTTAAATTTCTTTCTTTTCTTTCGTCCTAGAGCTTGAACTCAGGGCTTGGTGCTGTCACCGAGCTGTTTTTGCTTATGGCAGGTGATCTACCCCTTGAGCGACAGCTCCACTCCCTCCCCACACTTTTTTTGTAGTTTATTGGCGATAAATCTCATGGACTTTACTGCCCGCGCTAGGTTTTAGCCTCGTTCCTCAGATTTCAGCCTCCTGAGTAGTTGGGGTGAGCCACCAGCGTCCAGCTTGAAGCCTCTGTTGATGCTGAGTGGAAGCCTGGGGAGCTGGCTCGGAACCAGAGGCTCTCTTTAAAGCGACACCTCGGGCCAGCCTCACATCCAGTCCTCTTCTCTTCCTCTCCTCAGCCGCGTTATCGCCCTTCTCAGGGACGCGCCGCATAGGCCACCCCTACCAAAACCGGACGCCCCCGAAACGGAAGAAGCCGCGCACCTCGTTTTCCCGCTCGCAGGTGCTGGAGCTGGAGCGGCGCTTCCTGCGACAGAAGTACCTGGCCTCGGCCGAGAGGGCAGCGCTAGCCAAGGCCTTGCGGATGACCGACGCACAGGTCAAGACCTGGTTCCAGAACCGACGCACCAAGTGGCGGTGAGTCACCAACCGACGCACCAAGTGGCAGGGCGCGGGCGCGGATGGGCTGGGGCCCTCGAGGCCTGGTCTAGAGGCGGCGAGTCTTGGGGTGGGCAGGGTAGACACCCTACTGATCCCCCCCCCCCATCTCCGCTCACTCAGGCGCCAGACTGCAGAGGAGCGCGAGGCCGAGCGGCACCGCGCGGGGCGGCTGCTCCTGCACCTGCAGCAGGACGCGCTACCTCGGCCCCTGCGGCCGCCGCTGCCCCCAGACCCGCTGTGCCTGCACAACTCGTCCCTTTTCGCGCTGCAGAACCTGCAGCCCTGGGCAGAGGACAACAAAGTGGCTTCCGTGTCCGGTCTCGCCTCGGTGGTGTGAGCTACTCCAGCACGATCCACCCGGCGCTCTTTTCCGGACCGCAGCGGCTCTTGGAGCGCCTAGGGCGGTGGAGCGTGCGGCAGCCCGCACCCATGATCTAGTGGCAGCCGAGCGTAAGAGGATCAGAAGAAGGCCTTGAGACTCGGGTCCACAGCTCCTTGGCCACCAGCGGGTTCCCAGCCCCGCGTGGCGGGGATGCCGGGTGCACTTAGAAGACGGCCTTTCCCGCCAGTTTCCAGCCCGGCAGCCACGCTGGAGGCTGGGCGCGGGAGGGCGGGACCTTCGGAAGGTAACCAATGAAATGCAGGGTGGGGGGTGGCCCGGCTACTGGGAAGTGCCCTCTCCAAGGATTCCGGATTCTGAGTTTAAGAAGCTCGGAGAGGGGTCGGGTCAGCCTCAGCACCTCGGCGCGCTCTGCTGAGAAGGGGCTACACTTAGGTTGTGAAGATGCCAAGGAGAGCGGAGCAATGGAAGAGGTACTGGAATGTGTGAATCTAGCTGACTGCGAGAGGCACCAGAGGGTTATCCATGCTGGGTATCCCTCCTTCAACTGTAAAATAATTGTTCATGCTTCCTTCTGGAATGAGTTTCATGTTGTCATTTGTGTTTTACCCGCTGGCTAGATGTACTTATGTACCCAATGAAAGAAAATACAGGAAGACAATCTAGCTCTGATGTCCCGAAGGGACAGAGAGGAGAAAGAAGAAAATATCAGATGAAGTTAATGGCCCAGTGGGGCTAGGGTGAGCAGCACTTTCAAATACTTTGGAATTGGCAAACTTAAGAATCGAAGATATAATTTAAAAAATGGAAGTGCTGATTAGGAGCTCAATGGATGGTACTGTGGATGATGGAGGAGAAATTAGGAAGATTGTAGTAAGATTAACTGTAGTCAAAACTAAATGGTGAAACTTGAAGAATAAATTCTGGGAAGTGAATGTAATGATGAGAACAGAAAAGATATCATCTCCAAGCAGGTGCCTTACACTTGTAACCCTAATCACTTAGGAGGCTGAAATCTAAGGATTGCATAGGAAAAGTCTGTGAGACTCTAATCTCCAACTAACTACTAAAAAAGCTGGAAATGGAGCTGTGGCTCAAGTGGTAGAATATTAGCCTTGAGTAAAAAAGCTCAGGGATAGCACCCAGGTCCCAAGTTCAAGCCCCAGAACACAGAGAGGGAGAGAGAAAGGGGGCGGGAAGGGAAGAGAGGGAGGAAGAGAGGGAAGAAAAAGAAAAAGGAAAGTTATTAGAAAGACTTCAGCTTGTGACTGGGTCAAAGGCTCCTAGGAAGCTGCCTGATGATGAATTGAGTTGCAGAATGGTTGCAATAGCCTTCAGGTTTAGAAGATTTAAGTTTCTTTAAGAAAAGGGAAAGTTTGGGGCTGGGAAGGTGGCTCAGTGGTAGAGCTCTTGCCTTGCATGCCTGAGGCCCTGGGTTCGATTCCTCAGCACCACATAAGAAAAAAGCCGGAAGTGGCGCTGTGGCTCAAGTGGTAGAGCGCTAGCCTTGAGCTGAAGAGCTGAAGGACAGCGCCCAGGCCCAGAGTTCAGGCCCCACGACTGGACCCTCCCCCCGCCACCAAAAAAAGGAAAAGTTTTGTCTGATTTTTTTTTAGAACTCTTGTTCTTTCTTCCCCAGAAGCTGAAACATTGTGACAGAAGGAAGAGAAGCAGGGCCAGAGACTAACTGTAGCCAAACTGTTCTAGTAACAGTTATATCAGGCATAGCACTGAAGCTTCACTAGACAGGGGAGCCAGTGGCCATAGCTGCTGTAGTAGGCCTTTGAACTTTAATAGAGTGTCATTATGGATGTTGTAATATGGTATTGTAGAAACAAAAATCAAATTTGGCATTACACCTTTTTTTTTTACAGACCAAAAAGGAGTACAGACTCATGAATTTAGCATAAAATGGCAAAGTGGAACATTTTATTCCTATGCCAAAGAGGAAAACTAAGGAAACGATTCTTTCCTAGATACTTGTTTACCCCATTTTCTCCTCTCCTAGTTCACCATATCTTGGGATTGAGGATCTGGAATTTACATTTGACCTTAAATTTTGTGCTTCTAAAACTGCTGGGCTGCTTAATGCCACTAGAAGAGCTGAAATCTGTTTTTGTTTTCTTCAGTACTCAGATTTACATTCAGGCCCTCAAGCTTGTTAGATTGGCACTCTACCACTGAGCACATCTCCAACTTCAGTTCCATTCTTTAGGCAGGTGATCACTGCAAGACACAAGCATCTCTGTACTCTTGTGGGGAGGATGATTCACTCTCTGCTGCTGATGCATCCATTCCTTCCCTTAACTGGTTTAGTAGGTCTCTGCTCTCACTGGGAGGCAAGTTGCTCAGGAAGTATGGAGGGGCCAACTCCACCAGCCTGACAGACAATGATAATTAGATGATATGCATCTTCTTTTATACATCAGATTCTTGAGCTTTCCACCACCCCTTTCATAAATCCTCTCTTCTGAAACCATGTTATGGCAAACCACTAAGATTCTTTCTTCTTTTGGGTTTTTTTTGGGGGGGGGTCTGGTCATGGGGCCTGAACTCTGGGCCTGAGCACTGTCCCTCAGCTCTTTAGCTCAAGGCTAGCCCTCTACCACTTGAGCCACTTCTGGCTTTTTTCTTTTTGCTTATGTGGTGCTGAGGAATCGAACCCAGGGCATCATGCATGCAAGGCAAGCACTCTACCACTGAGCCACCTTCCCAGCCCCTAAGATTCTTTCTTCTTAAATGTCTCTAAATTTCCCAGTTTTAGTTCAGGGCTCAGGGAGAGGACTGGGCAGTAGGGGTCGGGGAACTCACATCTGAGGTTGAATCTCAGAAACAATGGAAAGGCAGTTGTCTTTGGATATGGAGAAACTGTGGTACAGCACCCATGGTGGTGGTCTGGCTGGAGCCCGGCGGTTTCGGTAGCAGCAGTATGAAGAGAGCTGGGCCACATGCTTGTGGGTTAGGAGCAGGTAATTTCCAGTTCCATCTGTGTCTCGGGCCACCTCATTAAAAGATGAAGATATCGAATGAATAAGTAGACAGAAGGAGGTAAAGAGTGAAAAAGAAAAGAGAAACCGAGGGAGAAATTGTAAGGGTAAGAAAAAGTAACAGTAAAGCATTACCTGTATGTGTTGTATGGTTTCTAGCATATGGCATTATCCATAACTCTCTGTTCCCCAAAGACTCAGAGGAAAAGTTCCTCCTGGTTCTAAATAATCTTTTGAATGGCCACCTAGATCTCAATTTTAGATGTAGCATGCTATATTTATTCCCTCTGCCTTTTGTTACTTTATCACCCTCTCTCCAACCCTTTCCCCTAACCTTGAGGAAGTATCCTGACAGCAGTGCTTTTTGGAGGTTTCTGCGATTCTGCTCAGACCCAAAGGCTGGTTGTGACAATGGAAGTTCAATTCGTTGCATGAGTTCTAAGAGCTCTCCTCGAAGTTTACGGGCATGGCACAATGATGCCCAGTTTAGACCCCGAGCCTGGCACCAAGCCTCATCTGCTCCACCTAGGAGAAGAAAGGGACTAGCTGTAGCAAAAAATGCTTGAGACCCTGAAAGAATTTGACTCATGGCCAAATGCCTTTTCTTCCTGTCACAGACATATGTCAGCTACCATTTTACTTGGAGGAAATCCTACAAATTGGGTCACTTACTTTGTATGAAAGCTTCGTAAACCTGAATCAGAGAACTGTGGTCACCATCAGCATGTTCCAGGGCCCTACGCAGGGCAGCTTCTTCTGCACAGAGTGGAGGATGAGTAAACCCAGAGGCAGCTAGAGGCAGAAGAGGAAGATGGTTTTGGGAGAACGAGAAAGGATGCTAGCACAGGTGAAATACTCAAAAGGTAGAAGTTCCTTTGAGAACTTTATTCAAAAGACATCAATAAATTCTGGGTGCTGTGCACTTTGTTAGATACTGAGGATAAAAAGAGCCCATCATATCTGTG